TGGATTGTGTGTCCTGTACTATACTTCAAGTTATGGAATTTACATGCTGAAAATCCCTTTTATCTTGAATGTACAAAACAGGACACAGGCTGGATATTCATAGACCTTGGTGGGATGTCCCCAAGCAAAAAAAAAAAAAAAAAAAAAAAAAAAAAAAGGAGGGGTTGGCAAATAAACCAAACAGATCAGTGCCAACAGGTCCAACAAAACAAACAAGCGTCAAAGACTCAACTCAGAGTGCTTGTAAAAGAACCTTTTGTTCAAAGGCTACATCTGCAGGGGCCTGGACATCCACCTTGTAAAACTTAGAGAAGGTATGAAATGAAAGCCAGGTGATGGCCTTGCAAAGCTGAGCAACAGATGCTTGATGTCAAAAAGCCCAGGAAACACCTACTGATCTGGTGCAGTGAGGATGATGAGGTACTGGGGGGTACCTTATCTTTGAGAACATAAGTCCTTGTACTTGTGAGTTGTCTTATCTACCTAGCAAAGGTGGACTTTTAAGCAGGGATTCTTTTACAAAACCCTATTGGCAATAGAAAAAAAAAAAAAAAAAAAAGTGTTTTTTTAATACAGGCCGTGGCTATCGTAGGGACCCTGACAGCTCTACCTAAGGAGAGAATTTTCTTTTAAATGCTTTGGAAATAGGCACAAAGGAAGGAAAATGTCTTCATTATAGTGGAAGGCCAAGACCACCCTGCATAGAATGGTGGTTCTAGGACGCAAGACCACTTTATCCTTGTGAAGGATTGGAAAATGCTCTTTGTATGAATGAGCAGCTAACTCTGAAACATGTCTGCCAGAAGAATTGAAAGCCACCAATAAAACCACTTTGCAGGAGAGATCACCCAAGAGGAGTTCTCTAATAGGTTCAAATTATAGTTTATGCAGGAAACAAAGTGCTGTAATGGGGGTCTGATTGGTAAGAAACCGAAATAAAGGTTCTAATATGGGAAAGTGAAGCCAGAGGCTTCTGGAATATATGGGGCTGAAACCTGTCCCTTAAGAATACTTAAAGCCAAATTGTATCCAGTCTTGACTATAGAAAGGCCAGAATGTGAGGTAAAGGAGTAATCTTGGGTCCAAAAGTCTGTGTTCATACCAGGTAAAATATGGTTTCCAAGTATGGTAGTATATTTTTCTTGACGTGGCTGTTCTAGCAGTGAGTAAGAGGGGAATGAGTCAGATACCCCAGTGCTACAAGACCTGAGTTTTAACAGCCATGCCTTTAAAGCCAGTGCCTGAGAAGCACAATGGAATAAGGACCTTGGGACAACAGGTCTGGCATGTTTGGAAGAGGTCAGGCGTCATTCCCCAGAAGTTTGAGCATGTCAGTGTTCCAGGTTTCTGGGCCAATTAAGTGCCATGAGAATCAACATTTTCTCTTCCTCAGAGTGCACTGTATCATTACCTCTTGCCCTTCTGTGCAGCATTAAACTGCATTTATACTTCAGCATTTGATGTAGTGCATAAAAATCCCTACTATCTGCATAAGTGGTAATATGAACGCTAGCACATGTAAAACACAGCTATAGTGCACCACATACACACAAAAAAAAGAGTTATCTATGTAGCCTTATTACACAGAACACAAATGTGAATGTTATGGGCTGACCAAGTAGCAGCTTTACTGTCTCCCTACTGTTATTTATATTGGGTTAAGGAAGAAAAAAATAAAAATGATGTTGAACTACAAGATCAGATATTTGCACTATTCTCCTGTGTTATATTAAATGGCAGCTTTTAGGTTTCTTGAACCAAAATATAAAGATGGCAGTTTTAGGAATCTTGCACCAAAATACAAAGATGTATTTTAGACAAGACACTTTAATTTGCAATCTGCAAGAATAAAGAAAGCATTTTATTAGTAGTTCCCCTACCGTGATTAACAACTTTGGTACAATGAAGCAGGCTCCCCCCAGCCACTTCACCATGAGCATATTAGTCGCAGAAAGACTATAAGCAACTCTCCAAAACCTAAATCTAAAAACAGTTATGGGTTTTTACAGCAAGATGTAGATTACTGTAAAAGTGAAGGAAAGGGAGTAGTAGAGGGGAAGTTACGCTTCTTTGCATCCTTCCTTCTCCTCTTTGAAAATCGTCACTTTTTGGAGCAGTGGGAGAGTGGATACCTGGTTTTGACAGGTACCCACTCCCACTTCTGTTCAGATTGCCACGACAATCTGAGCAGAAGCTCGTCCCCTCCTTCCCCCGCAGCCTTCTGGGACACAGGTCCCAGATAAAAGCAGAACTATTCACAAAGCAGCGCGGCTCACGTATTGGCAGTGGGAACTGGCTGTGAAGCTGCAAGGCTTCACAGTCGGTTTCCCTTACTTAAGATGCAGGAGCCTGAACCCGAAGCCAATTGAAGAATCAGCTCAGGTGCGGACAGCGCTGGATCCCTGGACAGGTAGGCGTCCTTATATTACAAGTCAGCAGCGTCAGTATTTGGCTTTTAATTTTTCTGTGGGAAACTAGGTCTCCTCTTTAAGACTGAAAAAGCACGAGTGGGGAAAAAACAAAAATGGGGGGGAAAATGCAATATTCTGTGTCAACAAAACAAAAGCACACCTTGTTGTAGTAGCCATATGTTATTGCATTAGGCTGTATTCCAGCATTCTTCATTTCAATGAAGACTTTCACTGCCAAAGCAGGGTTCTCCCAAATGCCACACAACTGCATTACCACTCTGTAACACACCTATAAAGAAAGAAAATTAACATAATAATGTGGAAAGATAACTTTACCATGTTTTTTTAATTGGTAACAAAGGAAATGCCTTAACAGGTGCTGTAGCCTGCATATTTAAAGTTGAAATATTGACAAAAACAAAGAAAGGGGAATTCATAAAACATACTGTTTAAAGCGGAGTTCCAGTCAGTTTTATGTTTTTTAAAAGTTAGCAGCTACAAAAACTGTAGCTGCTGACATTTAATAAACACACACTTACTTATCCCAGGGTCCAGCGATGTGCTCATCCGCACCGTCCATTCTCTGCCTCTTCTCTCCTCTGCGCTGGCATCATAACTGAAGGCACCAGGCTGTGACAGCTTGCGGCTTCCCATCCAGGTGCCCACTGCGCATGTGCGAGTCGCGCTGTACATTCTATTGGTCGGGTAGTCTTTTGGGACCTGTGAAGGAAACTGCGGGAGGAAGGAGGGGGTCCAAACTTCCGGTTCACTTTGCCGTGGCAAACTGAGCCGAACGTGGGAGTAGGTACCTGACAAAACCAGGTACTCGCTCCCCCCCAAAAGGTGCCAAATATGGCAGTGGAGGGAGGGAGGAGGCAAACAAGCAGAGCTTCCACTTTTGAGTGGAACTCCGCTTTAAAGTTCAACTTGTGCGAAGGCACAACGGGTTGGAAACAAGTATGTGAATTTGAGGCAAGCACGGAGGTGAAATAAGGACACTGTGTCCATACACTCCATCCTCTCTGCAGCTAAATATCCCTTTCTGCAGCTACAGTTGTCACATAGACAGTGCAGCAGCGGAGGGTTTTTGTAGCTGGATGGGTGGAAGCCGATGTGGATTTGGGCATCCTAGTATAGCAGGCAGCGGCCAGATTCCTTAGCCAATATTACAGTCTGGCACTGGCTATAGAATCCACCCACTGACTGCTGTCTATCAGATGGAGAGAGCAGACCTGATGGGAAACTCTCGATTCCTTCCACTGTCATTGGTTGTTAGGAGGCTGTTGGCTGTGAAGCCAACTGTGTCCTTAACAACCAGTAACAAGTGGGGAGGGATGAGGATAGTGGTAAATATGCCGTCTACTATACAGCATACAGAGAGAGGCACTCTGCTGGTCTCTGTACACCAACATACAACTGATTTTAATTACCTCACGTTTGTTATCTATGAACTGAAGAAAATCTTTTAGTTTAGCGTCTTAATAGCGCCAACTTTGTATTAGGAACTTCCTGAATCTGCTGCACGTTTCAGTAACATTACAGAAACTGGTTTCAGGACTTTCGGAATCTCACGCAGGACCTTTAAGAGAGCCATACAGCCAAAAAACTGGAATAAAATTTTACTGATGTCACCTGACAATGTATTCATACATGCGCCGTGTATATTGTTACGTAAAGTGATACTAAAAACATTTTTTAATCTTAATACATTGCTTGCATCAAGATAAAAAACATTTTATGTTTCCTTGTGCTCCCCCTTCCCTGTGTGAAATGGAAGAGGAGAAGAGATCCGTGCTGTGCACGGCTGCATCACTTCTCCCCTCGCTTCCTGTTCATACAAAGAAGAGGAGGAGCTAGGATCCATGGAGGGGGAACTGAGAAGGGGAGGATCAGTGCTGTTCTGTGCAATACCACTGCACAGAGCAGGTGAGTATAACATGTTTGTTATTTTAATTAAAAAAAAAAAAAATCTGCCTTTAGTAACACTTTAAACCTTAGTGCCCCTTTGTGCATTTCTTCCAGATCTGTGCAGTAATCCAGCATAAAAAACCGCCTGCACTTTGTGCACAAACGTTCGTTAAAAACTGGTTACTGCTGCTCTCTCGTCATGCACGGTAGGGAAACGTGCATCTGGTGTCTGTAGATCCCTACAGACAGCCTACATAAAGAGACCTTTTGGATTCCACCCACAGCTCTACTCAAGCTAGGTGCAGCACAGTGAGGATTTGGCCACTATTTACAAGGTAATATCTGGGTTTTCAAAGGCATTTGGGCAGACAAAGGAGGTTTTTATATCTTTTGTGACTATTGAGGATTATATTTGAATGAAAAATGTTGTATCTGATGTTCAGATTTTTATATAAGTTGGACTTAACGATTAACAAATGAACTGAAAAAGAAAAACATGCTCAAAGGTTTGCATTTAAAAGTACTTACCTCATCCAGTGGATCCACGTCCGTCTTTCTCATTTTGACCAATGCTTCATAGGACTTTTGAAGTGCTCTGGACTTTGACTGGGACACCTTCACATAAACTGGCAAACAGATGAACCAGAGACTAAAGCAGTGGCTGAACAAGCACTTGGGCCAGTTACTGGGATTGGTGTAATATTTCCTGGCCAATTTGTGAGCTGCTTTAACTTCCTGCAACAAAAACACAGTTAAATCTTGTAATGATCACCGATGGTTATGTATGGAGAAGGCAAAGAAAAATCTACATTAATGATCCTGCCAGGTAACACTCAATAAGTGTAGAAAGGGGAGGGAAGCACTCCTCAAAAATGAACACCAAAAAACTCTCACATAAAAAGATATGGATTTCGTTCAACACCTCAACCCAAGTAAAATTGTATATCGTATATTAAAAATGAAAAATTATAAACAAATATCTTCAACTAATAATGAATTTTGTTAATTAGTGAAAAGCAAATATATTTATGTATGGAGAACAAAATATAAATGAGAAAGACAGAACTTATGTAATGTTGTACAAAACCTACTTACCTCACAGCCTAGCTGTGTCCTGTCATATCGCAGAAACAATTTTTTTTTATTTTAATGTGAACATGTAGCTTATACTAAACCATTATTCCTATGACTGTGTTTACCACAAGCACATCAACTTTTCAGGCCACTGCAACCAGAGAAAAGATGCACACTGCCTGGCTCACAGCAGCCTGGAATAGTGGGTGCATTATCTGCATCGGAGGTCCATATTACATTAGAGAGGAGGTCAAATACCAAAATTGTGCTCATATAGTTAATCGGTCACTTAATATGAACAGTATTTTTTTTTTTGTGCTGCAGCTAATTTTTTTTCTTTTATAAAACTGCATAAAAAAATTAATCATGCAAATTAAAGCAGCAATCCCATGTAACTTTTAAATATATGTTAAATCCCAATTTGTTATAGATGTGATTTTAGGGTAAACACATAACTAAATGCCTCTTCGTCACAGACAAATGGCAAAAACGATGATCCTACCTCTGAGTTACAATTTAAAGTCGTCACAAGACTGTGCTCCAGGTATAAGCCATAGGGCTTATAATTTCAAGTCCTGAGCTACTAGCCAGGCCTTAGAGTTACTCGTCACCAACAAACACAGACAAACAGAGACACCTGTACACACACAGAAACATGTACACACATACACAGGCACGTACATACACGCATACACACAGATACATGTACATACACAGACAGACACATGTACATACAAACACAGGCACATGTAAATACATACACAGACACATGTACGTACATACACACACACATGTACATACACGCAGACACATGTACAGATACACACATGTACATACACACAGACACATGTACAATTGTACATGCATACACAGACACACAAATACACACACATGTACACGTGTCCCCACACACACACCCCATAAAAAGTTGCAGTACTTCGTTGTTCACTCACAGAGCCGGGTACTGCACTCTAGGGGGAAGCAGAGAGCACAGCACACACTCCTTGCTTTGCTTTCACTGCACTCAGCTATTAAGCAGTCTGACGGCTCCCAGTGCCAATGACAGATCCGGCCCGAGCTCCGAGCCTACTCAGGAAGACGGCCCTGGGGAACACACTCGCCCCCACCATAATTTCCTCTCACCATAGGCAAGCGAAAATTTCAAGCCCTGAGCCGTATCATACTTTTTTGAAAATGTATTGATAACATTTACATTATAACTGACATAATTTGATGTAATATGTGAAAAATACACATTCTTTCTGATAACCTCATAAAATAAAATTGCACAGATACAAGTGCATGTTATATTGTACAGCTGGCAGAAATGTAATATCAGTTCATTAATTCAATAATATCGAACCTGTTTGGTCCTCTTAGCAATAAACGTAGGACTGCTTGCAGCTCGCTTGTCTTTTGAGTTTCCATTAAATGTAAGGTACTGCTCACGAGTCCGGTCAAAGAGAGCATAATCAAGCCGTGGAAAACATTTGTACCTAAAAGGTATAGCACAAAAAATACTTTAAATAAAAGAAGAACTCATCAATTCACTGATAACAATTTTTTAAGGAATACTTATATAAAATATAAATGACATAGAGAATGACACAGAAAACAAAGTTTTGAGGGAAAAATGATGGCAGTTCTACACGATTATTCAAATACAAAGGATAAATAGGACTATTATTGTTAAACTGTATTATAATATATATAGTATATTATAGGCTAACAAAGTAGTTATAGTTAACAAAATTGATGATGGAATGTGGAAACCAGCCAGACCCTTCATCTTCCATGTAGTAACAAAATACGGTGGTCATCTTATCTATTGACCTTATTTAGCTGGGTTAAGCAGCAGCTTGGAACAATCAATCGGAAATAGGGTTTCATAAGTAATGTTTAAACCAAATTGACTGCTATGAAATAACATGCTAAATGGGCTGCTATGGGGGTTACATTGAGCTTATCAACATGGCTCTTTTTATTTAATAACCCTGGAAAGCTGGGATAAGAGGTACAATCCGTCAAAGAGCACAATAGACACACAACTTGTTTTTGGAAAACATGATATTTTTTTCAATACTATGTGGTTTATTACCTATATTTTGGAGCGGGATCAGGCCCATCCTCTGGAAGAGGCTCAGGTGGCATTATAAAAACTGTGTGCTCACTCTTCTGAGACTCGTCAAGCTCTATCAGACGGGTATCCTCAGGGGATTCCTGTTCTACCTGCCATATAAATGAATACACCGATTATCAGTGACCGAAAAAAACAAAAAATAAGTGAATAAAAACACACACAAGCAGGAGAGACACTGAAGCTGAACAATGGAGAATGGGGATGTTTATCCTAGTGTTTGAAGTATTCCATACCTTGTCTCCTTTTTCATTGCTCTTGTCTGGAAACAACTATGTAAATTAAAAGAAAGGTTAATGTACACAAATAACATATACACAGAAATCTATTTGAGACTAGCTGATATTGCTGGTTTTTGCATACATGTTCTGTTATTCTAGTCTGTGCACTGTTTAATTGAAGTTATACAACATTTGTATAAAATTCTCTGGCTTTAAAGATCACTTTTCAAAACAAATTAGTCATTGAAATACCTTTGATATAGCCAAAAAGTTCTCATTTCAGAGAACAGCTTGGTCTGTTAGAGGAAGATGAAAAATAACAGACGTACTGGCTAGACCCCCAGGTGAAAAAAAATGGGAAAATGTTAAAATACTAATGCAGCCACCACATTTTAAGTGGGAAAAAACCCTAACTACAGCTATTCTTAAAAATGTTCCCTCCCCCTTCTCCTACCTATCCTACTTAACCTGAATAAAAAAAGGATCTGTATACTTACCCATTTATAATTTGCTTCAGTCATGTGATCCTGCAGCTCCTGCTCATAGAGTGCTCAACAACTGGGAATTTCAAGGAGCCAGGACGTCGCCCATAGACTCGTGGCCCTACTGTTGTTGGTAACACAGGGGACCCAGAGCCGAGGGATCATGTGACTGGACCAGAGCAGATTAAAAATAGTCAACTATACAGATCTATACAGATATTTTTATACAGGTTAAGCAGAATAAGTAGGAGCAAACATTTTTAAAGAATGGATGTAGTAGGCTTTTCTTGCACTTTAACCCCTTAGTGACCAAGGGTAAAAATAAAAATCAAAAAGCTTAAACACAAATTTGCAATTTTGACATGTATGGGTACTATCTGTGATACTTTTTTTTATTTGCACTAACATACAATTTTGAGGACAAGTTTTCGGTGTATGTCCCCTTCTTCAAGGTTCAAGCAGTACTATTACAATGTTTTAGCAGAATGTTAGCAGTTGGAGATGAGAGAGAAAAAAAAAAAAGGCAGAAAGAAACACAAGCCTAGGGTTAAACTAGAGACCCTTTACTAGAGATAAGATACAGCAAAGCAAAAGCAAAGACTGGGGGGGGGGGGGGGGGGGGACACACTAGCGGACTCCTTCCATAAGAAAGGTTACAAGGATAAAACTATCAACAACAGCATAAACACAGCCTTGAGAACCTGAAGGGAAAATCTACTTCAGTACAAAGAGAAAAAAACAAACAACCGTGTACCTCTAGTAACCACATACAACCCAGCACTAGAAGGAATAAGAAAAATAATCAAAGATTTACAACCCATCATAACAGAGGATGGAACTCTGAAAGAAATATTCCAGCAACCCCCAATACTAGCTTTCAGACAACCCCCCAACCTCAGAAATAAACTAATCAGTAGGAAACGTCCTTCTGATCAAGATGTCACAAATAATGGAAGCAAACCCTGCAATAAAAAATGCTGCAAACTGTGCAACCAAATCAATCCATCAAAAAGTGTCAGACACTCAAAAGGGATCTTCAATATCTCCAGATCATACAGCTGCACCTCCAGTAATGTTGTGTACCTTATCCAGTGCATAAAATGTGACAAAGGATCTTATGTTGGTGAAACAGGACAGAAGTTGCAAACAAGGATGAATTTGCACAGACATACCATCAAGGAACATAAAGTAGATGACTTTTGCACACCTGTGGGACACCATTACGCTCAACCAGACCACACTTTGGGAGACCTCAATGTTTTAGTTCTGAAAGGAAATTTCAAATCCATTCAGGAAAGAAAAACTTTTGAACTAAGAATGATAATTCTATTTGACACAAGAGATAAGGGCTTTAATTTGGACATGGGATTCCTCAATCATTATCCGATATTTTTATGACTCTGTGATTGTTGTTCTTTCCCCCCCAGTCTTTGCTTTTGCTTTGCTGTATCTTATCTCTAATAAAGGGTCTCTAGTTTAACCCTAGGCTTGTGTTTCTTTCTGCCTTTTTTTTTTCTCTCATCTCCAACTTCTAACATTCTGCTAAAACTTTGTAATAGTACTGCTTGAACCTTGAAGAAGGGGACATACACCGAAAACTTGTCCTCAAAATTGTATGTTAGTGCAAATAAAAAAAGTATCATGGACAGTACTCAATTGTTTCTGTCGCAAGTGCACTAATACGGCTACAATCACCTCAAGCTGACATGTATGAGTAAAGCTGTACACATCATCACAACTATTTTGTGCATCAGGTGGATTATACCATGTTTTTTTTCCAGGACAAACTGGGCTTTCTTTTGGTGGCAAAAGGTATCAGATATCTCCTGATTTTTGTTTTTATTATCAAGAGAAAACTAGCCCATAATAGTAAAAGAAAAACATTTTTTAATTTAGTTGTATATTTCTTGCTACTACCATAACCTACCACCAAAGAACAACCCAAATTCTCCTGCTCCTGATGATCACAGCGATACCACATGTGTATGTTATTTGCTGTTTGTACCCCTAGTAAGGTCCAGAAACACAGTGAGCACTGTTTTTTTTATCCTACCTAAAAACACCTGACACTAAAAAAAAAAAAAAAAAAAAAGCATCCCAAAATTTCCTGATCATGACCGGTGATCCTGACTAGAGATGAGCGAATTATTCAAAAATTGCGCGCCGCAGTGTGTTCGGGAGCGAGTAGAGCCGGTGTATGGGAGGTCTGGGGGCGTGTATAGGAGGAGGAGGGAGCGAAGCTCTACAAGTGGGATCTGTGGAAGTGTCAGCGCCCGGGGAGAGCGGCTCGGCTCTCAGTCTCTGCCCGGGTGGGACCAGCTGACCTGCAGCACCACATGAGTCTGGGGGAAGAGGAGCTAGAGCTGCTGGCCTCTGTGCCTTCCCATACAGATGTACTTGCCTCCCCCTGGAGCTAAACTTGTGATCCAAGATCCTCCCTGCCAGACACAGCCTGGAAAATCGAACTACTATGTCCTAGTTCAGCAGTACTTCGATCACTCCCCTTCCCTTTGTGATGATGCCAGCGGCGGAGCGTTCTCTCAGGGAGTTGTATTGCTAAAATGGTGGCAAATATAAATCTGGAGCTTTTACTTGCAGAACCTTGGTCTTGGAATTCTACATTTAATCGTGTTAAGGAAGATCGGTTGCTGCATCTGCGGAGGAGCGATTCACCATTCCTGTAACCGGATCAGCTTTACTTCCCTCTGGATTGAAGATCCTTGAGTTTTATATACACACACTGCGTTTATGTGTCTTACTTCTGGTGAGTGCGTTTTCCAGCCATTTCCACACGGATCACCTATTCTGAATCCACATCAGACACTGGATACGTTTATATGTCATAGACTTTTAGTGGACTACCTTTTTGTCATTTTGTCATTATTTTCAGCGCTGCACTATTTTTATGTTAATACTGTCAGTCAGTATGACATGCAGATGAGTGCCGTCGATCTTAGAATCACCGCACACTTCACTCATTTGGGCAGTCACGGGGCCAAAACCAGAGTGTGGAGCCACAGTGTGGCGGTGGAGGCAGCAGCAATGGGAGGCCATACAGCACCCTATGACAAAATGGAACCCACCAGCAGTGTGAGGAGACCTGAAAGTGGCACATGGCAGAGTGTGGCGATGGAGACAGCAGCAATGGGAGGCCGTACAGGGACCCATGACACACTCTGGACCTGGCAGCAGCATGAGGAGGCGGTACAGGGGCCCATGACAGATTACGGGCCTGGCAGCAGCATGAGGAGTCGGTACGGGGGCCCATGACACACTCTGGACCTGGCAGCAGCATGAGGAGGCGGTACAGGGGCCCATGGCAGAGTGGCGAAGCGTAAGCAGCTTAAATTGAAGGCCATACAGAGGCCTATGTTAAAAAGTCCCCCCAGCAGCAGTGTGGGGAGACGACTATCAAGAGTCCAATGGCAGAGTGGCGGAGCAGAAGCAGCTTCAATTGAAGAAGAGGATGAGGATGAAGAAGAAGAAGAAGAGGATGAGGATGAAGAAGAAGAAGAAGAGGATGAGGATGAAGAAGAAGAGGATGAGGATGAAGAAGAAGAAGAAGAAGAGGATGAGGATGAAGAAGAAAAAAGAAGAAGAAGAAGAAGACAGAAGAAGATGAGGATGAAGAAGAAAAAGAAGAAGAAGAAGAAGAAGAAGAAGAAGAAGAAGAGAAGGATGAGGATGAAGAAGAAGAAGAAGAAGAAGAAGAAGAAGATGAGGATGAAGAAGAAGAAGAAGAAGAAGAAGAGGATGAGGATGAAGAAGAAGAAGAAAAAGAGGATGGGGATGAGGAAGAAGAAGAAGAAGAAGAAGAGGATGAGGAAGAAGAAGATGAGGATGAGGATGAAGAAGAGGATGAGGATGAGGATGAAGAAGAGGATGAGGATGAAGAAGAGGATGAGGAAGAAGAAGAGGAAGAGGATGAAGAAGAAGAAGATGAGGATGAAGAAAAAGAAGAAGAGGATGAGGATGAGGATGAAGAAGAAGAAGAAGAGGATGAAGAAGATGAAGAAGAAGAAGATGAAGATGAAGATGAAGAAGAAGAAGAAGAAGATGAAGAAGAAGAAGAAGAGGATGAAGAAGAAGAAGAAGAAGAAGAGGATGAAGAAGAAGAGGAGAGGATGAAGAAGAAGAGGATGAGGATGAAGAAGAAGGATGAGGATGAAGAAGGATGAGGATGAAGAAGAAGGATGAGGATGAAGAAGAAGAAGAAGAAGAAGATGAGGATGAAGAAGAAGAAGATGAGGATGAAGAAGAAGAAGATGAGGATGAAGAAGAAGAGGATGAGGATGAGGATGAGGAAGAAGAAGAGAAGAAGAAGAGGATGAGGATGAGGATGAGGAAGAAGAAGAAGAAGAAGAAGAAGAAGAAGAAGAAGAAGAAGAGGATGAGGATGAAGAAGAAGAGGAGGATGAGGATGAAGAAGAAGAAGAAGAAGAAGAGGATGAGGATGAAGAAGAGGATGAGGATGAAGAAGAAGAAGAAGAGGATGAGGATGATGAAGAAGAAGAGGATGAGGATGAAGAGGATGAGGATGATGAAGAAGAAGAGGATGAG